TCTCCATGATTTCCGTTCTAATCGAATGTGACGAATATATTCTTTCATTCTCTTCTGGATGAACAGAACACCACTGTCAAATTAGACGTAATACACTGTCTTTTACGCGATAAATAGAAATATAACATAAGCGGTCGAACGATAAAACGGTAGTGTATTATTATTTCGTAAGAAAACGATATAACGTCAGTACCCAATGCTCTCGATTTATCCATAATTAGTTACATATGAATCGACAAAGAAACTTCAGCAGTGGACAATTGGACCAGTCGATGGGGGAAATTGTTCCACTTTATGGGGAAATGCTTCAAACGACATAAAGTCATACATGTCAAGGAGAAATGGAACGAAAGAAAAATATATATGTCTATATAAATACATACCTATACTCTGTTATGTGTATGCATATATACTTGAAGTTAGAGGGAAATGGTTTTTCTTTCAAAGGGAAACGCTTCAACAAGGAGAAATGGAAAGAAAAAAAAACAAGATATATATAAAATATATATATATGTCCCTTTTCTGAAAGAAAGGGTTATTCCCTTGCTTGTCGGTCGAGAAATGGATGAAGCATTTCTCTTAGAATCTTAACCATTTCTACTGGAAAAAATCCATTTCACGTTGAACATACCCTTAAGATAAAAAAAAAATATCCATTTCTCCTTGTATGTTTTCCATTGCTGCTTATCGATCGAGAAACGCATATAGCATTTCTCTTAGAATTTTAACCGTTTCTGCTGGAAAAAATCCATTTCTCCTTCTATGTTTTCCATTTCTGCTTCTAGATCGAGAAATGGATACAGCATTTCTCTTAGACTTTTAACCATTTCCGCTGGAAAAAATCCATTTCTCCTTGAATATACCCTTCAGATAAAAAAAGTAAATATCCATTTCTCTCTGTATATTTTCCATTTCTGCTTATCGATCGAGAAATGGATAAAGCATTTCTCTTAGAATTTTAACCATTTCTGCTGGAAAAAATCCATTTCTCCTTGAACATACCCGTAAGATGAAAAAAAAAACATCCATTTCTCCTTCTATGTTTTCCATTTCTGCTTCTAGATCGAGAAATGGATAGAGCAATTCTCTTAGAATTTTAACCATTTCTGCTGAAAAAAATCCATCTCTGCTGGAAAATCCTATATAAACACAAAATAAAATAATCGATTTCTCTTTGAATAAATTCCATTTCTCTTTATAAATAGAGGAATGGATGAAGCATTTCTCCTGCTTTTTTAACCATATCTGCTGGAAAAATTCCATATCTGCTAGAAAATCCTATATAAAACACAAAATAAAATAATCGATTTCTCTTTGAATAAATTCCATTTCTCTTTAAAAATAGAGAAATGGATGAAGCATTTCTCTTAGAATTTTAACCATTTCTGCTGGAAAAAATCCACATCTGCTAGAAAATCGTATATAAAGAACAAAAATAAAATGATCGATTTCTCTTGGAATAAATTCCATTTCTCTTTATAAATAGAGAAATGGATGAAGCATTTCTCCTTCTTTTTTAACCATATTTGCTGGAAAAAATCCATATCTGCTAGAAAATCCTATATAAGAGACAAAAGAAAATAATCGATTTCTCTTTGAAATTCCATTCTTCTGCTTGTGGATGGGATAGGGAGGAACGGTTTCTGCTTGAAAAAAAAAGCATTTCTAATGGAAAAAATCCGCTTCTACTAGAAAGATGCTACAAGATGTAAAAATTATGGATTTCTCTCTAACACTTTTCGATTTGTGCTGACTTTCGGGATAGGGACCAGGGAGGTCTTGAATGAAGGTATAGGGACTTTTGGGATAGGGATCAGGGAGGTCTTGAATGAAGGTATAGGGCTCGTATAAAAAGCATTTCCTTCTGTTTTTATGTGGTTTAAGCGTTTCTGCTTAAAGTGGAACAGTTTCTCTTTGAGAGGGGGAAATGGTCCAGCCCTCAGAAACTTGGCATAGTTCTTCGTATTTCTCAAATTGTCATTACATACAATGTGTAAAATTTTTCACAGATTTACATGAATCATTTTTACCAGCATCGTATGCTACTGATATTTTAATACTTAGGAAATTGAGTACAAGCTCACGGTAGAACTTGTCTTATAGATACTGATTGCTGACAGGAATAAGAATTAAATCAAAGAAAATGCACGAGTTCCGTGCTGCATTTGATAATTATTCGATTGACTGAGCAGTCATTCACATATTAATAGCTAGCACTCTTTTTTACCAGGGCATGTTATTTCATGTACAGCACTTTTCAACTTCAAATTATTTCTACAATCTTCTGAAATCGCATATCCTTTCATCAAAATCCAGTTGATTCTCTACATCTAATTTAGCAGTGATATCACGAAGAATTCTGAAAGCAAAATGAAGTGTAATTTAGAGATATTTCAGAACTCAAGATTACTCGTTCGATGTCAAATGTATACTATACTCCTTGACCATACTTCGAAGATTAACATCAACCTCGAACGGTTTATAGCATCTATTGATATGCCAAAAGCACGAGTAGGAAGTCATTAACACAGTTTTTGAAAGTGAAACTTTTGAAATAGTTCAGGTCTACCTTCGATTACATTGAAATCGTGCTCTCGGAACGTATGATCTGTGGCAGTCTATTCATGCCATATAGCCGTTTCTCGTTTATTTTCATGTAGAAATAGAAATGTATTCGAATTGCCGCTTGAGTGTCATATTTGTCGTCGACTTATTACGTAATAAACGAGTTTCGTTCGTTACACCGCTAATGATTCATCTATATTTCGTTTCTGCCGTTACTTCTGACGGATATATACGTTTGCACGACTTATTCTGTTCTGTCTCTCCCTTGACGATTATCGATAGAACGAAAGAGATATTATTACGCTTCTTACGCATACTGGCTCATCACTAATAGAAATAATTTTTGATCAAATTTTCCAAATGTCCTCGCGAGTACTTCAAAGCAAAATCAAAATAACTTTTCATCAGCTTGACCAAATGCGCTAAAATTTTGGATTCAGAGGTTTTAGACGATGCTGAACAAGATGAGAATATAAAATCAAAAATTTAAATTTTGACGAGTGCTTCGATTCCTTGATGGCCTCATGGACGCTCTCTTAATTATTTTACGATCTTGTTTTCTTCTATTTGATCTACTCGAAATAGTGAGAAAACTCTGAATTATCTCAATTACACAAGTTATACATATTTTTCTTATCTAATTTGTCAAGGTCGTTACCTGATTATCGTTGTCTGCTTTATTTTTGTCTAGTGTAATGATCTCGCCTAAAGGTAATTGCAATTGTTCTGCACGAGTAGAACCAAAGAGTTGAGTGAGCAATTCGATGAAGCTATTAGCATGTTGTTGAATTGTTTCTCGTTCAAACACATCAAACATGTATGCCCATGTACAGTTAATAGTCGTCGTACGTTTGTCATAAGCGAATGAAACATCCAAATCGAATTTGTAACCAATCTCAAGATCTTTCTCATTTGTTTTATAGTTAGAGAGATAACATGAATCACCAAGCAAAATGTTATCCATATTTATGTAATCGATGAGTATTGTGTCCACACTGAATAATGTCTGTAGATATGGGAATTGTAAGTGTGTAGTCGGTATGCGATGCAAATTGATCAATTCATCATAGGGCAAATGAGCGTGTTGAACACTTGTAAGAAATGTTTGTTGGACTTTGTGTACAAGTTCGATGAATGAGAGCTGATCGAGATCGATCTGACGAATACGACATGGAAGAATATTGACAAACATACCGATCATTGAAGCGATTTCCGGTCGATATCGATTCATATGGATGACACCAATGCATGCATCTCGATTGTTGAACGAGATTTGAGTGAGAAATAGGTAGAAACATGTAAGTCCCAATTGAAACAGAGTGACATTCAGTTGATGAGCAGAAAGAATCATCGAGTGAGCTACGGTCGATGGAACAGCAACAGTTAACTGTTCACCTCGACTAGTACGACGGGCAGACATCGGCTTTTTAGTTCCACCCAAATTTAATTGTCGATCCCAACCATAATCTTGTAAAAGTTCACTCCAATAGTTACGTGCTTCTGTCATTGCTAGTTTTCGTTCATGAAAAGAATAATCAATGTATTGAAGACATGGTGACTGTAGTTCGCCACCTGAATAGGCGACTTTAAGCTCGCCCAAAAATAGATCGATGGCTCGTCCATCGAATGATCCATGATGGAAATAGAATACGACTAAATCACCATTCGACAATCTATCTTTCTGATGATTATGATCATATTGAATCAAATGACATCGAAATACACCATCATGTTCTGTATCGAATGGTGTCCACATTTCTTCATGTAATAATTTTGCTTGTTCTTGTTCATCATTGATAGTACTAATGCGAATAGGATAAGTGAATCTGTCATGAATCGATTGACGCAATAGACCACTTTTTGCATCGAACATCAATTGAGTACGAAAGATCCAGTGCTTAGCAACAATAGAGTCGATTGCACGAAGCAATTGGTTAATTAACAGATAACCCGAGTCAATTTTGAATATCTTACTCATATTGTACGTCGGTAGCAATTTCGGCCAATCAAAGAATCGAGTGCGCTCACTCAACCAAACAGTTACTTGAGCGTATGAAGCAGGACCTAAAAAAAGAAGAGAATAAAACATATGATTAACAAAAATGGTCTAATAGTTCACCTTCAGTGATATTCAGTGGATACCAAATCGATTTCATAGTGGTATACTGGCCTTGCAACAAACGAACATGATCGGCAATGGTTGTGTGACGAAACAGATCACTTATGTCGATCGATTGTTGGAATTGTGTTTGATATCTGTGATGAAGTCGCATGAGAAGTAACGAATGACCACCTAGCCGAAAGAAACTGATATTGGTCGATGGCATTGATTTCAAATTGAGGACTTCACACCAAACTGATGCAATTTGTCGTTCCATCTCGGTTTGTGGCTGCTCAGTTAACATCATGGAATCCAAAGGGAGACGTGAGAAATCAGGCGGTGGCAAGGCCTTTCGATCTAATTTACCATTTTGATTCAGTGGAAAATGGTCCAGATGAATAAACAACGAAGGTACCATGTACAAAGGTAAATGCTTAGTACATTCATCACGTAGTAGATTGATACTCAAATGAACTTTTGATTCTACATAGGCTACCAGATGTTCGTCACTATCGTGAGTAACCTTAATAACAATACTGTTAGTGATTGCTGATGATGATCGCATGATCACTGTTTCGATTTCGCCAAGCTCAATACGTTGTCCTCTTAGCTTCACCTGAAAATCATCTCGACCAACATAATGCAGAACACCTGACCTGGAATCAATACGGACTAGGTCACCTGTTCGATAGAATATCTCTTCTTGATGGGGTAACCTTACGAGCACTTCGCGCGTCAGCTCAGGCTGATGTAAGTAGCCGCCAAAGACGGCCCTACCGCCAATGAATAATTGACCAACTTGATGGTCACAGAGAATAGGCTGAAAATAAGTGTCAAGCAAATGACATCTATATTCAGGAAGTGGATGACCCATCGGTATGCTATAGCTCGTCAGATCGTCTTCTGTGACTCGATGAAAAGTAGTACCCAGGGTGCATTCAGCGGGTCCATACAAATTATAGAGTTCCGCAGTCGGATTCAGCAAATCACAAATACGAGAGGCTGTTTGTGGCAAGATAGCTTCCCCCACCGAGCACAGGCGTTGTACGCTAGCCAATGAAATCCGACGATCGACAGAATCGTCCACATATTGAATCAGAACTGAGAGAAGGGTTGGAACCGTAGTTACTAACGATATTTGATGTTGGTGAATCATTAATGTCAAATAGCTCATGTCAAGATTTCCATTTGGTCGAAGCACACACAGTGTTCCTCCTAACCATAATGTACCGAGAATTTCTAGCATGTGAGCATCAAATGTTGATGATGTAGTCTGTAGCACAATATCATTATGCATCATTATTCTACACTGCTTTAGTCCTTCGATAAACCCTGTGAAATTCTTGTGAGTGATCGGAACCACTTTCGGGGTGCCTGTTGTACCACTGGTAAAAACCAGGTAAGCTGTTCTATTAATAGAATTTGATTCGATCAAGTTGGGCATGAAGTTAGTCGATGACAAAAGAATATGTTCAATATCAACACTATTCGACAACATGACTGCGTTTGTTCGATTATGACTAAGAACACATTTAGCTTTCACTTGTTCAATCAATGAAAGAAGTCGCGCTGATGGTTGATTTGGAGAGAGAGGACAATATGATGCACCACTCATCAGAATCGATAGTATACCAATTATCTATATGACAAATCAGAAGAATATTATTACTATCAAAAGTCAGTTTTCACTTACCATTTCAATAGACCGATCGACACATTGAGCAACAATGTCATCTGGTTGTATTTGACATCGATCTGTCAAATGATGAGCAAGAAGTTGTGATGAATGAAGAAGTTCAGCATAGGTGAGTGATTGATCATCGAGAACTAAAGCTAGTTTTTGTGGATGTTCCATAGCTCTACATGCAAATTGTTGATGAATGGGAAGGAGGTTTGAAGACAGAAGCAGTTGATCACCATTATTCAAGTGTTGTAGCAATTTGATTTCGTGGGGTGATAGCAGTGACAATTCGCAGATAGGAGTCGACCATAAGGAAGAGAACATTTGATTTAACAGTGAATGAAAACGACAAGCCATGGATTCAACCGTCTTCAATTCAAAGAGATCACTCGATGCATTAAATGAGATCTTGATTGAGCGTGTTCGTACATGATAAATTATATAACATGTCAAATCAAATTTCGCCACACTTTCAGGATCAGTGGTCATTAACACAAAGGGACGCAGAACAGTGTTATTCGCAAGTTTTATTTCGTCTTGATGATAGGTTTCAACGATAAATACGGTCTGAAGAGTGGCATTAGCTGTATAGGAAACAATCTCTTGATAGGGTAAGTGAGCGTGAGGAAGCGCGAGAAGCATAAGCTGGTTAACACTTCGGATTATGGACTCGGAAGTCGCATACGGATCAAGGATAATCCGATGTGGAAGTGTGTTAACGAAAAATCCAATTATGTTTTCTAGCTCAACTCTTTGTCGATTTGCTGACACTGTGAGCACGCAGAGATCTATCTCTTGAGTGAGCTTGAAGAGAAAAGTATAGAATGCAGCCAGACCTATTTGGAAGAGAATTATTTCACAATCACTTATACGATTGAGTATTTGATCAACTATATCAGCTGAGAGTTCAAAGTTCGTAGTGGAACCACGACCTGATCTTGTACTCTTGTTGTTTGGAAAGTGGTCGTATGGCAACTGCAGATAATGGTATGAGAAGCCATTTAAGTGTTGTTTCCAAAAGGCTCTCGCTTCACTCATATTGATCGCTTTTTCATGTATTGAATAGTCAATGTAATCTAATGCACATGATGATAGGGGACGATCAGTAGAATATGCTTGCTGTAAATCATGAAAGAATATATCAATTGATGCTCCATCGAATGCTGCATGATGAAAGTTAAACACCAATATGTCACAAGGAAAAAGAACATCATCATCGATATTTGTAGATCGTCGAATGGCATGACATCGAAACACTTTCCCTTCACTCAGATCGAATAAGCGAGGATTCGTTTCTTCATCGTACAGAATCTTCTGCAATTCTTTCTCATTTTCTACTTTTGTCGCAATTATCTCGATTGGTATCCTATTCATGACTTCTTGTTGCAACTCACCCGCCTTTTCATCGAAGATTAAACGAGTTCGAAGAACTTTGTGTTTCTCCACGATGGCAGCAACTGCTCGCTGTAATCTCTCCAATGACACAGAGTT